CCACCCTCCGTGGCTTAGCTCTGTTTATCTTTGGTTGTAAATCAGAGAGAACAAGAGAAGGTGGTGTTGGGGACAGAGAGGAACAAAGGAAATTAACACCAGGGAAGTAAGTGAAACAAACAAGGAACAGATATGGATGATGTGGAAACAGTGGATAAAGCAGAACAAAAAGAACAGATACTGTAGAAAACTATTATAATAGAAATTGTATCGGGAGAGCCAGTCTTTCTCATCACTAGACCAGATACCACTTAAAGAGGACCATCATGCTATATTGAAACATATATGTAGGGGCCATCTCTCCTTTTCCCCCCATCACGTTTGTTGTTGTTTTGAAGAGAGATGGCCTTACAATAATATGTTTCCAATATAGCATGATAGGTCCTCTTTAAGTGTAATACTGGCTGTTGATGATTAAGAGACTGGCTCTCCGGATACATTCTATATAATGTTTCTTTACAGTATCCTGGTTCTTTTGTTCTTTGCCTTTATTCCACTGTTTCCACATTCTCATTTGTTCCTTGTTTGTTTCACTTTCTTTCCCTGGTGTTATCTTCTTGTCTCCTCTCTGTCCACACCATCCTTTCTTCTTGTTTCCTCTCTGTCCCACACCACCTTCTCTTGTTCCATCTGTCCCACCACCACCTTCTCTTGTTCACTCTCTGGTCCCACACCACCTTCTTTGTTCCTCTTCTTGTCCCACCACCACCTCTCTTGTTTCCTCTCTGTCCACAATTTCACCTTCTTCTTGTTCCTCTCCGCTCGATCACCCACCTTCATCTTGTTCCTCCTCTGTCCCACACCACCTTTCTCCTTGTTTCCACTCTGTCCACACCACCTTCTCTTGTTTCCACTCTGTCCCCACACAACCTTCTCTTGTTCCTCCTTCTGTCCACACCACTTCTCTTGTTCCTCTCTTGTTCCCACACCAACCTTCTCTTGTTCCACGTCCTGTCCCACACTCGCACCTTCTCTGTTCCACTCTGTCCCACACAACCTTCTCTGTTCCTCTCTGTCCACAACACCACCTTCTCTTTGTTTCCACTCGTCCCACACACCTTCTCTTGTTCTCTCATGTCCACACCAATTCGTGGCTATTTCCTGTTCTTCTGACTTTTTTGTTCGTTTTAGCCTCAGTCTCTTTTTGCCCCCAACACTTTCCTTTTTCTTTAATTTTCTTACTTTTTAACACCCTCCCGATTTGTCTTTAGATTTCCCTTCCATCTTGTTTTCCTTTTTCAAATTGTTTGAGTTGAAAGAAAAACGTTCTTGAACATTTGTCACCTATTTTACTTAAGCCCATCATCCCCACTTCTTACTTCCTTCATGACCACGCTCCTCAGTCTACCATATTGAGATGAACATGGGTTAAGAAAAGTGATTATCTAGCTTCTCATTCTTTCGCCTGGCCTTCCTTTTAGAGCGTCACACACTTTCTCCTCTGTGGGGATCATTTAAGAATCACTCTATATTCGTATCTTTTCTCCAGGCTCTGAGTGAATCCAGAGGAAAACGATTCCGGACGCAGGCTTTCAAAGGGAGGCTTCGGAGCCCTTTTACTTATTGGCTTCCGCTCGCGTTTTTCAGAGCATGGGAGAACACGCACCAAACAGTTTGGGAGGACGCCGCTCACCTCTCGATGATCATCAAGACACGCTAAAGCTCCAAGAGCATGGATCTAGGTACAACACTTTTTAAAACCTTTCATTTAAGATATTTCATCCTCATTTACGGGAGCGTAACACCATGTTGCGTTTCGAGAGCAGACTGACCGGCAGCATGAGAAACCAGTGGTGGATAAGCTATTAGATATTCTTTCAACTTTTAAACAAAAATTAGCAATACTAAATCAAGAGTTAGATTTACCAGTTTAAACCGCGGCGGGCAAAACGCAACATCTTTGCACAAGAAACAGCTTTCTGATGGCTCATTAACATTTTAATAAAACTATGGAATGGTCAAATACCACTTAACGGGAAGAAACTCAGCTTTCAGACGATATTAACATTTTATTTAGCAAAACGAACATAAGGGGGTGTTAATAACAAAGGCTCTTTGAATAGCCGCTGAGCCGATACAGATTTGCCTTAACACCCCACTTTAGCACCACAACTCACGTTAAATTACCCTTATTACTTATCAGGAATCTGCACAAACAAAGTATCGGTTAGCAAGCTGAGATTCCCACAGATTCCGAGACAGATATAAGTATCAACAAAACTAATTTTTATCTTTGACACAGAATATGCGACCAGAAACTTGCGACAACAAACAACAATAAAAAATGTGCTTTACGGTGCCAACACAGCCCAAAACTTTGTGGTGTTCTGATCAAAAGTTGTGTTCAATGGCATTAAAATGATATCAACGCTGCTGAAGGTTAATCCAGAGGTTAATCCGATGTGTCCAGGTTAGACTCCTTCTTAGGTAAACGTAGTATTGGCATAAAGTATATTTAGGTGTGTAATTACACACGTCAGAATAATATATATAAGATGATTGGATTATTATCAGTCATGCCTTTGTGTCAATGGTGGAACGGATTTTAATTAGTTTAATCCCGTTAATCACAACAATAATCTGTGATAAATCAATCTTTAATCACAAGTTTAAAACACTGTTATTTGTAGTATATATAAACTTATTGTGATTGGAGATGAATAAAATATATTCGTAAATTGTCTTGATAAGTTAACGAGTTACTTTTGATGCTTCTGCTGGATATTTTAACATGAATAAATAAACATGTACTCCAATGTTTATTTATTAGTTTACTTATAGTTTCTTTTAGATTATAATCAGAATTAGGTAGTTGTGCTTAAGTGCAATATTTGAGTAATTTAAATTCCACCACTGGTGAAAACCTCCTTCAGTCACACATTATCATCACGTGATATCAGCTTTAGGAGGTTCAGATATTACAATCTGTGGGTCATTTTGAACTTTCCTATAGCACACCTCAGCTCCTTCAAACTCTGTAAAACCTTTTGAGAAAACCTCAGATTTCCTGTAACCTTTTCCACACATCCCTACACATCTCCCCAACACTCCTTCTATGTAATTATATTCCTCCCTTCTTCCTCTGTACGGGAACACCTCTCCCCAAAAGTGGAGAAGTTCCCCCGAGTTGATTCACCTTGAAATGGCTCTGAACAGTCGCTGATTGCTTTGGCTGCACCAGTCTCTCCGCTCTCACTCTCTATAATCATATCTAATCTTCCCGAGCAGATTGCCGCTCTGTGCCGTGTTGATACCACAACAACGTCTTGATTGCTATCCTCAGAAACCCTCCTTTCATCTCCCCCCCCCCTCCACCTCCACCTCCACCCCCTCGTCTCGCATGGCGTCCCGTCCTAATAGAGATGAAGCATTGTGTGATATGTTTGCAGCGCTACCTGGATGTTGCATGAGGAATGTCATTCACTAACTGAAACCCCCAAATGTTTGTACCCCTCCCTTTCTTTCCTTCCACTTCCTTTAACAGTAGCCGACGAGATTAACCTCACCCCTCGTGCCTCCGACTTCACAGGTAAGGACCGGGGAGAGAAAGGTAGAATGGAAAGAACATTACCTTCACTTCCATCCCATCACTTTGTCTTCTTAAGGTTCATTTCTAAAAGCCTGGAACTGAGGAGTAGAAGTGGTGTTTGACTTTGAGGTATAATTAAAAGCCCTCAGGAGGTCGGATTCACACAAAGTATTGCTGTTTTATGGTTTTATTCTGCATAATATGGTATTATCCAATCACATTCAGCACTTAAACACCGTAACTCATAAAGCAAAGTAGAGAAATTACCTGCACTATAATCGCCCTTATGGCACATTTTGTATTAGAGAGGTTCTATTAAGCTTTTGGGGTTTTCCCTAGTTATAAAGTGCTTTTTGAACATTAAAGCATGAACACAAACTAGGGAAAACCCCAAAAGCTTAATAGAACCTCTCTAATACAAAATGTGCCATAAGGGCGATTNAGTTAATTTTTCTGAGAAAAAGTCCAGGCTGAAATGGTGGCATGCCACTTGTTACGTGTCGACAGCACGTTTGAACGTATTTCCAGTGGTTAAATGATGGCTGTTGGCCACTGACGTGCCATAACAACACCTGGATAATTAAAAGTGCAACCTCTTTTTGCAACCCCGAAAAGGA